AATAAAGCATTTGGAGAAGTGAAAAAAACATTAATCCAGAAATAAAAATAACAATTTAAAAATCACTTACTTACTAAGGGTCAAAAAACCCTTCTGCTTTCTATCTTCAATAATGGACCTTTTACTTGTTGTATTATACTGACCAAACTGTACTAACTCAGATGCAGAAAATGTACCTCTGAAATCATATTCCCCTCCTAGTGTAAATTAATCTTCACTTTGGATTGATCCACTAAAGCTGTGCATTTGTAAAAGAAAATACTTGAACATCTTATGTTGAGACCAAAGCAAAAATCATGTTTCTTAATCTTCAATTACAACTTTTGCAATACTGCAACTTTGCAACAAAAGTCTGTTAGGAGGATGCACCTCAAAAATTTTATTCTACACTTCTTTTATTACACTTTCCAGAAATTGATATAGAGTTAAGGATTTCTCTCTGAGGTTTGAAGGAAAGACTTTTACAAATCTTCCCAGTCCCATGAGACAGATCTTGTAAACCTTGCCCACAGTGTTTTCAAGCACTACACTGAAAAAAAGACTTTCTTGGTATTCATTATCTAATCTGTCCAGAGTTCATCTTTCTCCCTGAAATGGGGAAAAAAAGTGAGATAGATGAAAGCACATTCAATATTTTTGGTTTTTTAGAAGTTTTAACAAGAGGCTTCTGAAAACCCAAAAGAAGAAAAAAATCTAACTTAAAGATGGAAAGAGAATGCAATTTGGCAGAGTTCTAAACCTGAGTCACACACTTAACACTTGATTGTAGGTGATCATGCTCCTGATTGCTTCAAAGAGAAGCTGTAATGCTGGAAGTACTAGGTATGTAGAATAACTCATTAATATCAACTGAATGTAAATAGAGAAGTAGACTATCTCATCACAGTAGGCATGACAAGATACCTGCAGATGAAAGGGTTAAACAGTCAAGAAAAATCTGTGGGTGGTTACTCTAATTTTAAGAAATCCAATGCCTGTAGTGGAATGAAGTTATGCACCATTGTGAATTAATGACAGAAAAGTACAGATATCTTTTCTCTGAAAGGCAGAGTAGCAGCCTTGTCCAGATGTCACACTAACATTCAGGGGTGGAACAAAACCACACCATTACTTGTTTGTCCAAGAACTTTGCATTATTTTCTCCTTATTTTGCTTTAAAGGATAACTTGAAGAACATATTGGTAGTAGATAAAATGTATATTTATAATATCTTTTTAAAAAACTGTGCCTAGATAACAAAAATACAGTTTTAAATCAAGCTCAAATCTTGGCCTGTACATACTGCTCATTGAGGAACACTAAGTTACTGCTGGTAAAGTCAAAAAATAAAATCAGGAGGAATTGGATGGAGAACAGTGAAAAGAAGTTAGAGTGGAAAATGCAATTCGGAGAATTCATTTCTCCAATCTATGTGAAGTAATTTGTGAAAATGAGGATCTTGAATATATTCCAGAAGATGCCAGATAAAGAACTCTCAAACGGAACTCAGAGACCTATCTGTATCACCTAAAAACTCTCTACATCCATCTCCCTACAGAGTTCACTCTGGTTCACGGTTTCCTTTGGTGCTATTGTCTGCCATGGGGTTACCATCAGAGAACACTGGTAGGCAGTACTTCCCTCTAACATCTATTTTCAACAGCCTAAATTGGTCTTCATAGGATTCCATTGTGCACGCTGCAAAGAAACTTGTCTTGTTGCCAGCTAGAACTCTGAACTACATGTCTTTCTTTTCTTCACTGTTCTTTTTTTGGTTCACAAGCAACCTCCTACCAAAAGCAGAATCTGCAGAAGAGACTACATCCAAGCAATAATGCAATGAAAAAGTATGAAGAGAAGCCCAGGTGGCCACCTTGCAAATTTCCAATGTGGAAGCCTTCGACCTCTCCGCCCAAGAAGCAGCTATAGTCCTAGTGTAATGAGCTTTACAAACCCTGGGAGCCTCTTTACCCTTAACTACATACGCCTCTCTAATACAATCCCTTAACCATCTAGCTAAGCAACTCTTAGAAGCCATTTGACCCCTCTTAAGACCCCCTAAGAGTACAAACAATCTGTCAGAAGATATGAAATCTTTGATTCTTCTGTGATAAACCCTAAGTGTTCTTCTTACATCCAATTTATGCAGCCGTTGCTCTTTGTCATTGCTGGGTTTAGGGAAAAATGAGGGCCAAGAAACCATCTGGTTTAGATAAAACTCAGATGCCATCTTTGGGACAAAAAGAAATTTTACAAAGAGGAATCATCCAAAGAACTACTTTGTTTCTGATGGAACTTTATACATGTTCTAAATATCAAAATTGAAGTACTAGGGAATATAAAACAAAAAATCAATTGACATTGAAACAGCTATACACATAAACACACCACTTGACACAAGCACATGAAAAAACCATTATTTTTGCTGCACCTGTGTGTGAGCTACATAGATTAAAAGTCTCCCATGAATACTAAAAGCAACCAAAATATAAAGAAAACAAGTACAAGGCTTCTGTCTATGCAATGCCTAGGGAAACTTTAGATGACTTGGACATTCATCTACCTTTTATGAATTGGCCATCATTCCTTAGTTTGTCAGTTGTGCTACTTGCAGAGCACTGGCACTTCAGATATCCCTCACTGCAGAGACGAAGGGGTAAGCTGGACATACCCATACTAGCTCAAACTTGCTGAGAGTACGGGTAACTGTCTAACCCCAGAAGCACACACTTCAGCCTGGGCCAATTTGCTCTGCTTCTTAAGCTGGTTATGCAGCCTATGCTGCACTGTAAACCTGACCTTTGTACCCAAGTTAAGTTAAAGCTGCCTCAGACACATCTACACTATTGACTGCCAAATTAAATAAGATTTCTAGTAATAAGGCTTCTAAATAAGTAGAGAAGATGGCCATTATATTGCCTAGTCACATATTATAATGTGTTCTGATGAAAAAAACAAGGATTCTAACCAATCCTTCTTATCAAAAAACTCAGCCATCATCAGTGAAAAAAATAAAATTATCATTTGAATATAGGACATTAACAGGGAAAATCTTAAATCCCCTTTGGTACTTAACACAACCTGGAACTACTGGGAACATAGCTTTCATTCTCCCACATCATCTTTCACTTCACTATAACTGAGATTTCCAGCAATACGAAAATAAAATAACACCATTAACCTTTCTTCTAGTCAGATGTCTTGTTAAAAATTTCTCTGGACATGTCTTCTTTTCTTTTCACAAACTATCTGTAAACATATCACTGAGAAAAATTTTGTGACTAAAACCACATGATCAAAACAGCAACTCGAAAAACAAAAGTATGTCTTAAGACTTCACTAAAAGCACCTGAAAAATGTTTACCCTCACTTGTTTTTCAGGGTAAAATGAATTCTATGGTTTCTTTGATTTTACCAAGACTGCCTCCTATCAGAGCTAATAATATTTCCCATTCAGATTTGATTAAGTAGAGATACCAATTAAGAACCAACTTGCTACAGACATGATTACTCTAAAAGAATATTTCTAAAAGAAGGCTGCTTAACACTCTTTGGAGAAATAGTTCTGGATGTAATTAAGCTTGGAAAAATATCTGCAGGATAATTTTTACTTCCTGGAAAGTCTCTGAATTACTGGGGACCACATGCCTTAGAATATAGTCACGTAAATATGAAATAAATTTCCTATTCAAGACTTCAAAATTTTTTTACACATTCTCACATAATACAGTAACAAAAAGTACATCTACCATTGCCCTTAGTGAATGTGTACCCTGCCCAACACATGAGGAAAACTCTGTAAGTTTATTCTAACACCTCTTTGTAGAATCAAGGCCATAAAACATAAATCGTAATGTATAACAGCTTCATATTTCTTGAGAATTAGTAAAACTGAGTGACTAAGAGAGGCAGAAATACATTGAAGTCACTAGCAAAAAATGGAATTCAAATGCACATCTTACTAGAGTTTTGATGTATATTGTAAAAATATATAGTTTAACCTGTATTTCTTTATTTTGGAGTGTCAGTATTACAGGTGAAGAATACATTAGCAAAATGTGTGCCTTGGAACTATTCTTATTTTAATATTTTTATTTTCATCAATGTAGTATTTTGAGACTACATCATTCCCAAAACACCTTCCTCCTCAGCATGCAGCTTGACTATTGAGATAGTGAACATTTGATTTCACCCATCCTCTCTCCCTGAGCAGCCTGGCCTCATTTCTGGTCTGATCTTTTCCTGCAATAGAATCAATGCTCTTGAATCCACTTCTCTCTCAAGATTTGGAGTCTCTACTGGCAGAAGCAGCAGAGTAGACGAACATTTATCAGCATACTCCAGGAAGGTGTTACTCATATTAATTTTTACGATACCCAGTTCTACTGAATATAATTAAATGAAAAAAAAGAGTGACCTTGGAACCTATAGCAAATGCAAACCTGAGGCTTGATCATTTTACTGATGTAGAGCCTCTTTTTGTAGCACACTACTGAGTAAGAATGCTAGTAAACATAGTGCACAAGTAAGTGTGAGAAATACAGGTTATACAAGGACTATAGCCTTTAGCAGCTAGTTTCATCTACACTAAGATAAACTAAATTGATATTAATGTATGTGCTTTTCTCTCTTGAAAAAGGCAGCTTGCAAGGACAAGTTCAGAAAAAGTCAGTTTCAAAGAATTCAGACTCCAAATATTGTTGTGTCTTATGTAAGACATAGGATTTTACAGAGAAACCAGAAGGAGATATCTTGTTACAATGTGTGATAGTTTTTCATCATGGCTCTCCATCAATAACTATAGTTAGTACATCACATCTTTACACACAGTGATCAGTTCTTTTCTACAGGTCATTGTGCTCAAACATAAATCTGTGTAGTGCAAAAACTTTTTCAGTGGGTATGGTAAGACATTCATTCGAAAAATATGATTACATAAATTAGATAATTAATGCTGAAAATAGTATAAAGTTATTCTTTTGCACAAAGTAAACTAATAAATCAAGACAATAATTCATTACCTTGAACATTCTTATTCCTCTCTGTAAATGAAGGCAGCAGCAGAATTTCTGTAGAGAGCTCTTCAATTTTTTCCTCCATTAATAAGAAGAGTTTGATAAGTTGAGAAAGACATTTGAGTTGATATAAGGTTAAGCAGAAGTTTCGTCCTTTCCTGTGGTACTCCTGGGAGGCTATTCAAGTAAAATTATAAAATAGCTTTTATTATAGCTGAAAAAAGAAAGGTACTGCAAAACTTATTATGTAAGACAGTATAATATATCAAGAAATTTAATTTTTCTTATAACATAATGTATCTTTGTCTCATTATAAAATATTGTTATATTACTATTTCCTAAGTGTTCAGCACTTCTCAATTATCTGTGAGGTTCCAGTTGACTTCCAGGTTTTGTTATTCATTAACTAGGATTTTTTCCACGCAATGGATCTACTCAGGAATGTTCTCACCTGTGTTTTATGAAAAACCCACTGTGTTGCAAAAGCCGAAAGGGAAAAAAACACATCATTACTGTATTTTAATGGTTTGGGACATCACATCACTTGTCACTCTGCAAGTCACCTTGTCTATATAACAATCTGCTAGCACAATACAGTTGATGAATATGACATTTGAGTGAAAGAAACATCAATCTAACACTCCACAACTTTAAATATGTAGGGTTTGAAAACAAGTGAGACTGTCAGTGAGCAAATATCAGCAAGTATTATAACTATAAGCATTTGGTATTTAAAAGAAGAAACGGAACATTTTATTTTGAAAGGTTAACACATGCACTCGTAACATATAATCATGTCACATCAACCAGGGAACTCTGATTTCAGCACAGTCAGACTATAAACGACTGTGAGATGTTTCCAATTCAGCATTACCAAACCACATGGGCTTAAATACTTTAATTTTATAATGTCTTTAAATGTAACAAATTTCCATTTCTGTGCAAATTGTGGTGAGCTGATACCATGTTCCTATGCATTCGGTTCTAGATGTAACATCAGCAAAACAGTAAATCTCGAAAGTGTCAGAGGGAGAGTCAGAGTAGTTTGAAAGAGAAGCTCTGAAAGATGAACACAAAAAGAAATTGATTGAAATGTACTTTCATGTGTCAAATCTTTCTGACCTTTGCAAATTTTAAGTACTTTGTACCTTCCTTCTCCCTCAAATTTTCTAAATATTTTTTAGGCATTTAAAAATCACTTTTAAATAGACATAGATCTAAGTAGCAGAGCTGAACTAACTCTGAATACTAATTCTGTAATTTGCTATTCCAGTTTTACAGCCTTAGAGACTGGACTGCATGTTTTCCATCCACATCTGAATTTCCTCAAAGTTCCAAACAGATGTATTCATGCTAGTTCCTTGCATTTCTAAGAACGTCAAAAGATTTATAATTGCCTATAATTGCATAATTGCCTCTGTTAGTGTCTTTCCTCTCTGAATAATGAGTAAATAACAAATCAATCACTGGATTTTTAATTTTAAGTCTTAAACCTAGGAAAAAATCACATTCACAAGATTTTACTCCTTACCTGAAAACTAGAGAATATAATCTGAGTTTAACTGACATGAAAAGACTGCTCGAGTCTGCAGTACAAGAATCATAAAACACATCCTAAAAATGAACAGAACATTAGTTCTATCTCCTATAATTTGAAAGCCTTGTGATATTTCTGCCCCATCTATGGAGGAACAAGGAAATGGTCCACTTACTTGATTGCCTCAAATGATATTGTCCACTTTAGACTGAAAGAAAGTGGACGTAGAAGGCAAAGGCATACCACAGTAATGCTATTTTTAGAAAACACTACCAAGCTCAGAAAAAGAAAAAGCTTTTACTTTAAATGATCATTCAGAATATATTTCAGTTTTCTTGTTTCTCAGAAATGATAACTTATTTATTTAGTGTTGATGCTCAAGTAGTGTGCACACTCCTGAGGTATGCAAAGCCTGACTGAAAGGCCTTCTATATCATGAGGCTAGAAATACTAATGACAGCATTTAATTTTGAAGAACACTGACCAGCCTGCTTGAACAAGCACATCACTATCCATTTTTTAGCAGAGTAGAATGAAAAGGCACTTCTTTTCTGACATTGTTCTGATTGGACAGCCACAGGACAGAAACCTTTAAGAATGGTGTAACAGCCAAGAGCAAAGCAGCAAATGTGATGACATAGAGAACATCTCAAAAACAGGTTTATAAATCTTGTAGAAGACTGTAATGAAGAGAACATATCTCCATGTGGAGAGATGTGAAATAGACATGAAGGCTGTGATATATTTCAACCAAACCTCAGTGACATACACCTGTTTGGAGGTAAAATTGCCATATTCACAAAGTGGAGTATGCTTACTCTGAAAATGTTACCAAATGGATCATGATTTTGAGGGTTAGGCCAGAAAACTAATATTTTTTAGTGACATTTTCCCTGGTGACACTGTGCAGCAAGAGAAGCACCCTTCCATTATGAAAATGGTCTGAAATTGTTAGCATTCTATCCAATCCACAGAGCAGCATAGACAGGGTGGCTGAAAGCCCATGAAGCTGATCTCAGCCAGCCACAAATCAGTTAAGCAATGGCATTCTAGTCTAACTGCAGGATAGAAAGGAAATGGAGACATTCACATGATACAAATAAACTTCCTTCCTGAACCACCTGCAATTTACTACTATCATTCTTCCAAATATGATTTTTTCTGCATGTCTGACTTCAATTTATGTAGTCCCTGTACAAGGAGATAGCTGCAGCAGGATATTTGGATACAGACAAATATAAACAGGATCTCTATAGTACCTCCTAACAACAGAATATGTTGGCTTCCTGCTAAAGTAATACCTAGAGAGAAGAATTTCTGAAAAGGGACAGAAAGGCTGGTGCAGAGGCTAAAGTGAGGTAAAGTACATTCTACAACCTTTGTCAATGTGCCAGTTATCTGATTTTGTGAATATTGCTCCAAAAAAACGTTGAGATCAGGACCTAAACAAATACAGAGGAGTAAAAAAAGGTTCTGAGCTCCTGAACACAGCCCCAAACTTCTGTCTCTGCAAAACAAGGATCACACCAATACTGGTGTACAAATCCAGTGCCAATGCTGATGATCCCTAAACTGTTCTGGAGGAGGATATGCTAGCAGAAATATCCTAGAGTCAAGCAAATGGTTTATCTTAAGCTACAACAGAAAAGATTCAAACCAAGCACAGTGTCAGGGACCACTGAAGCCTGGCTGCTACTTGAGAACAGGGAGTCAAGCATGGTAATAGGGCCAGCAGGACAGGCTCCTTGCCAGCCAGGGCCCAGTCCTGCAGATCCTAAGTAAGGCAGACCCTGACATGATAGGTTTCAATCAAGAGTCCAGATCATCAGCCAAGTTCATGGTGATGACATAAATCTGAAGTTGAGTCAGGAAGCTAATTCACTCTTTTGAATCTGGATCTGGTCTGGTGAAGGTAACCACAAGTCAGGCACAGTTCAGTGACCATTCAGTGGAACCATGGTGACAAGGCATGTTCAAGCTCATAGCAAGAAAACAGAATTAATGGGGTCCACAGCTCTGGAGCAGATGAACATCAGGATAGCTGCAATGCAGTTCAAGCAGGGACTGAGGACTCAGGTGCAGGTGAAAAAGATCTCCTGGGCAGGTTGTGGTGCAGGTCCCTGAAAAGGCTGGTCAGGGCCTTCAGGCTCACTAATGCACACAAGGCTTTCTTGCATAGCTTTTAAGGAACTCAAATTTTCAGACAAAAACCTCAGAAGAACTAGGAAACTGTCTTTCTGATTCACAACTACTTTGCTATGAGGAAAAAAGAGAAGAGTACTTGAGGTATCTTCAGTTCTTTCTGGGGGGATAGGTGGGAGAAGACTAAAAAATAACTTGAACTAACTTGAACCTGCACTGTATTTATTTGTAGCAAGTAAATAAATCTTGTTGGTTCATTACAAAAAAACAGAATGAAGCAAAGGAATAAGCTCAAAACTTCCATGCAATAAACATCTCTACATTTAGATAATCTGTACTCGAGTTCCTACCACATAGAGGCAGAGGGGACCTAAAGAATATTTAACTTCTTCAAGCATGCTAATTTGATACCCCAATTATCACAAAACAGGCATCAGAAGTCTGCCAACCCAAACAGTGTTACTCTTAAAGAGCTTTTCTAATAGAAAAAAAGGCCCAAAAAAGGGTGTCTATCAGTTTATGCAAGGTTTGTGTGTTGGTACCAAGGCAGCTGATACAGTTATACAACACTGGAGAAACTACGGGTACTATTTTCAGGTTTGGTCTTTCATTTTAGAAGAATTGAAACTGAAGAAATTTTCCTAAGATCTGAAGGACACGCCACCCTTGTCGAAGAATAAAGCTGTCCATTTTACCAGAGACCATTTGGCTGGATGTAGTTAGACAAATGATATCATAGAATTTCACTTCACCAGTCATGAAGTTGAGAGGTGCCCATATGAATTCTAAGACAGCTAATAAGTTAATTAAAGCATTTTTCAAGTAACATAAAAAAAAAAAAAAGACATTCTATAAAGCACTTGATTATTGTAACTGACCTTCTCCTAAGTACTTAAATGCAGTAGCAAGGTATCTGCCTTTATCCTAGCACTTTTAAAGATTTTCTCTCATCTTTGAAAAGAAAGAAATAAGAAATAAGAAATAATTAAGAAATAAGAAATTAGAAATAAGAAATAAATAAGAAATTAGAAATAATAAATAAATAATTAAGAAATAAGGCTGAGTAGATCTAGATTACCTGTGTATATCTGTGAACTTGTGATTTTATAGCAAGTTTCAAAAGTGATATTTTCCTCAAAGCTGTAGCTCTTGAAACCACTAAAAAATTTGTTCTAGCTCCCTTGGTTATAGCCTGGAGGCATTAAAAATCTCAAAAGGCATAAAAAAACATGTGTGAATGAGATCCATAAACTAAATGCAACTTTATTATTTTCTCTTTGTATTTTTTTTAATGAGCATGGAATCTCTAATGTTTTAAAGAATTTTGAATTTACAACATCTCAAAAATGAGTGCCTAATTCTGACCATTTCAACTCATTCAGGCATGTGATAGAGTAAAGTGTGGCATAGAAATATCTGCATCAGAAGTGAGCTGGCTCTAAATGGTAAAGAACAACTACATTATGACAATGTTGCTCTCAGATTAATTAGCCTTTTC